CAAACTTGGAGTCCTGTTCACCAAGATGCAAAAGATGCAACTCTAGCAAAAGGGGTTTCTCTGCAGGAGAGCTCCATTTGCCATCCAAGCCCAACCAGAAGAGCTCCTAAGTGCTGTCTTCTACAGCTGATCCTGCTGTCGTCTTGGTGAGGTGTCTTGGCCAAGACCAGCTTGCAGCATTGGCCTCCTCACTGCAATCCCAGCACAAGAGTAAGGTCCAAAGTATTTCAGTCCAAAAGGGTCAGTCTCTAAAGTACTAGTTGATAAATGCTATATTAAGGAATTCAGCACATGTATGCATTATCTTGCTTAATACACTGATAATAAAATGCTGTGGTTTTGGAATACAAGCTAGGCAGCAGAGAGACTTCTCCCACCCTTTTTTTTTTTTTTTTTATCAAGGATGACTCTTGTATTACAGCCATCTGAAAATCCTCATATTCCATGACGTTTTTTGATATCCAGAATCTTACACACCTAGCGCGTGTATATTCATATATAAAAAATATTTGAAGTAAGTTAAGGATTGTTTTGGGGAGGAACTGTGCTGCCGCGTGCTCTGATGTCATTTAGTGACGGATTTGAGACATCTGTGGTAGACTTGAATGCTGTGAGTTTGAGAACCAGCTTCATGGAGGAAGGGGCCAGTGGGCCACAGCAGTGTTAAGCGTGGCTGTGGAACAAGAGTTGTTTGAGTGGGTATTGCTGGGAGAAAGCGAGCATCATCACATCATCTAGTTTCAGCCCTTGGTGGAGGGTCTTCTCTGGCTTTGAGGGCCATCAGAAGCCGTTGCAATGCATGGCAGCAAGGTTGTTTGCAGCCACTGGCACTGAAAACAAAAGGGGAACCCCAAAATACCCCTTTATTTTTGGTACGGCTGCTTAGAAAGCACACCTATTTGCCCAATTTTGATGGCTGAAAGGTTTTTATCCATTGAATTGGTTAAATTAATTTCTGCTGCTATAAACGGAGAGCTGTATTAAGACCAGAACTAAAGTAATTTTACTTTACATTATTCTGTGTCATGGCACATCATTTCTTTCTTACTCAAGGCAATTCATTTTGTAGTGCCGTCAAATAATATTTTGTGTCATCTTCAGTCAATGTAGTTTTTATGACTTTCGCTGGTATTTTAACAGTTTATTTAGTCCTATAGATAATGGTCAATGGCCTTGAGTAGTCAAATTAACACCTCGGCAGCCCTATATTTGAGCAAACTACTAACAGTAACCTCAGGATGAAAAGCAATGAGAATCAATATAGCGAGGGTATTTTTAGGGATTATTGATTGATTGATGCGTTCTGGCCTTAACTGGAAGCAGCAGCATTGCCCCACAGCTGACTAAGATTAAGTTGCCAGTTACTGATAACTGTAGGCCATTACCTGTGTAGTATTTCACAGGCTCGCAGATTAGATGGAGACCTTTCACAGTCCTCAGATAAAGAAACCGTGGTTTTCAGCGTCAGGAGTGCCTACCAAGCTGCAGGAAAACACCGTGTGCCTTTCCCCTTACTGCTCTGCTGCGAGACCTGGAGCCGGCCCTGCCTGGATCAGCGCTGCCCGTTGTTCTGTAGGGATGCAGGTGGGACACCGAGGGGGACACCGAGGCACCGATGGCTCGGCTCGCCCCTCCGCAGGAGGAAGCAGCCATGTTAAGCTGTGCTTCTGCCGGCGAGCTGAGAGCCGTGGGTCTCTCCGACACAACTCTCAATTGCTAGCAGGTTTCTCTCATTGCACCTCATTTGCATCTGGGACATCAATTAGCATGTTTGTTGAGGCTAATTGAATGAAACTCAATCATAGCTCTTAATTGCTTGACTATGTGAAAAGAAATCACATTAATGCAGCTAATTAAGTGTATGGCAATAGATGCAACATAATTAGGAGCGAAATGTAAAAAACAAGCGATGGCGAAGGTGCAAGAGCAGGGGTGCGGGGGACTCAGGCGCTTGGTTATCCTGTTATCGACACGTTTGGGGAGGGTTCCCTTAGCTTTGCTGCTTGCTTTTTTTTTTTTTCTCCTGCGTTGCCGAATGATGAACATGGACAACTTGAGAAGAAAAATGCAAATGGCTTTGCAATTACTACTTTTTCAAGCTGTTGAGGGGCAGAAGATGGCACTTCTGGGGTGGCCCGCTGTTGAGTAGGCTCTAGGGACTTGTTAAGTGCTGTTTAAAAGTACTTGGCTTTGAATTACCCTCATGCCTTGTTAAAGGGTTTTTTCCCCTTTTTTCTCGGATCAGCATTTTCTACAACTAACATCTAGGGGAGTTATATCTGTAACATTTGCATATCAAAATCAGGCTTGCTGTCTTCTCTTTAACACAGCATATTCCAGATGACAGCAAGACCCTCATCTGTTCTAATCTGATCAAACCATACATTGCACTTCTGAAGCCGCCACATTATTTTGTAGTTTTAACTTTTATTCCCCGAGTGCAGATCTGAAGGAGCATGTGCAAGGCTGGATGCTCTGCTGACTGGAAACTTGGTGCTTTCCTCTCCTGCTTCTCAGGGGAACGCGGAGATTACCGCTATGCATCTTGCACACAATGAAAGAGTCTTTATTGTTTACATTTGATATATCCCTATAAATATTTAAACTGACATTAATACCTACATGGCATCTGTTCTTTTCGGGCACTTTCATATAATAATGGTATGGCTACAGTGCATTTATTTCCTGTTTGCCAACATTGACTTACTCTCTTGAATTGTTTATAGCTCACCTAAGCCTGTTTTACTCTCAATTAAAAGGGCTTTAATAATGCCCTGTCACATCTCACAAGTTGGCAAGGTAGCAGGAAAAATGCGCACTCTATTCATCTGAAGCATTTGGAATAAAGACTTCATTATGAAATCTAAATGGAATACACTGGTTGTTGTATATTAAATAAAAAGTGTCTATTAAAAGGAGTACATGCTGAGGTTTAGTCACCATCTGATTAAGCCTCGTTTTACAGCCCATAAGCAATAAATGCTCAGTTATGTTCTGGTTATTGTATTTTAATTTGGGAAGAACTGACACTGAACAAGAAAGTTATGCCAACTTGATAATTTATAGATGAAACTGTTTCGTTCGTTTCTATCTAGCAGCCAGTGAAGTGAGTTTTTATTAATGGATTGCCTTTGTTTCTTTTGGAAGCAGAGCTCTGTCTGCTTTCTCAGCCAGAGAACTGTTCAGACATCCCTTCCTCACTGTTAATAATTCCCAAGCAGCAGGGGGAGGGGGGAAAAAAAAAGAAAACCAACAAAAAATCCCACCAAAGCCAGCTCTGGTCTTGTTTTTTTATCACAGATTAATCTTAGCTATGAAAAAATGAATACTAGTCAAGTAGTAGATTTTGATGTGTTTTGAGCAGAATATATAATTTGTGTTGTACACGCTCTCAGAGGTGGAAGGGTTTTTATGAGAAAGTTGATTGTTCCCTGTATTGTGCCAGGAGTGGTTTAGATTTGGAGTGAGCTTTTAGTCCATTCAGGTAGATTTACTTGTAATATTGATGCTTTAGTGGTACACAGAGGCCCATATGCTGCAGGTTTGGAATCAGCCTAATGAATATTTGTAGTATTTTATGTAATACCTTGTGGTTTGACTAAATTTTGTCCTGGGCACTTGGAGAACTACAATAAATGTCATTGTCAGCATGTCTTTGCTTGCATAGGCTTCACCCAGTCTTCTGTAAATTGATTCAGTCCTACCTGAAAAGGAGCTAGAACTTTTTTCCCCAGTTTCTTCCCACAAGAGATTGTTCAAGACTAACATTCCCTTGGTTTCCAGCTTAACTCAGTTATGCCAATTTCTTTTTCCAGTCTTTGGTACAAAGTGCTTTTTTTCTTGTAGTGTATATCCTCAGATATACGTTTGCCTTTCATTTCGCTATATTGCATGACCTGTCCTGCATTTCTTTTCATAACATACAGTCTCTTTTTGTGATTGTCCTCATATTTGTTCCAGTTTCACTTGCATTGTCTGGAATGTGAGTAACCATAATCATGTGTACCAGGACATGAAAACTTGTTAACGGCTTTAGCATTCACCATCTCTACTGGAAGTATCTCTTCTGATGTACCCCAGGATTGCAGATTCAGTGGCTGTCTCACCTTAATGAACTGTCATTTGTCCTCTGATAAAGAAACCCATGCTCATTTGCTTTTCTGTTTTCATCTCAAGAAGCCCACAGGCAATTTAGAATATGCCATTGAAGCTGGAAAGCAGAATTACGAGCCTGTTCTTCCAGCAGCTTTTTACAGTTTGTAGAACTGCACAGCTCACTTCCTCCTGAATTTCTCAGAAAACAGTGGCTTGGCTCCAGTCAGTTGGCCATTGTCTTTCCACAAGTTATGGTATTTGCTTATTTCCCCTTTGTGTGCTTTCCAAACAAGAATTAGGAAAAGCCTTTTCCACTTCTGGCTTCCAGCTTTTAGCGTGTTTACTATAATCAGACATGATTTGCATAATTTTCTCCCTGCTGTGATTATTTTTTTTTTTGGAGGAAGGATCACATCCTAAAGAAACAGTGTTGTAATTTCAGAAACCTTAGCAGTGCCCTTTCGTAACTTTTGTGCCTGTCAACCAATTTCAGCCACATTTTATAGAGAAACAGATAAATACATAAAACACTGAAATAGAGAGGAGCTGCAAGTAAAACATGCTCATGAGAGACAGTCAGCCTCGTCTTCTTGTTTTGTTTGGGACCTGCCAGCTGCTGAATTTGTACATGTGGCTCAGAAGCAGCTATGGTGTGAGTTACCTCTTACCTTACCCACCTAGCTGTTGGTGGAGGATGTAGTAGAGCTCAAGACTTTGGGGAGTATTTGTTAAAAATGTGAGCTGTATTACCTAGAAAATGGAAGGAAGGGGAAAATATTGTGGTGGATGATGGCAGATGTAGGACAAAAATCTTATGTAAAAAGTCATATGAAACTTTGTCATTAGTCCTATTGTTTACAGAACTACCTGTTTGATATTGCTGTTTGTTTTTTTCCTCTTATCAGGACTATATGCAGAATGTTCATGGGAAAGAAATTGACTTGCTGAGAACCACTGTGAAAGTTCCTGGAAAGAGGCCACCCCGAGCTACGTCAGCTTGTGCACCCATTTCCAGTCCCAAAACAAATGGCCTCTCCAAGGACATGAGCAGTTTACACATCTCGCCAAATTCAGGTAAGACAACTTAATGCTTGACAAACAAGGGAAGGACTGCTTTTCCAAATGTATTTAAGCAGTTGAACCACTAGGATGGGAATTATTTCTGTTACTAATTTATAAATCCAAGTAACCAGTGATAGTCAACTTTTAAGTCTTCTCTGATTACTGATCTGGCCTCCACAAGAGATTCTGAATTTCAGAGTAATTTTCAACATCCATGTTACCTTATACTTGCATACATAATTCACAGAAGTTAATATTTGTGAATAATTGATGCTGCCTTTCTACTGACTTGTTAAGTGTCATACTTTGGAAAAACAGTTGTGTCATTTGAAAGGGTTGTTTGTGGCTTCACGATGACATCCACGCTGCTTGTTTCCGCCTTTAGAAGGATGCATAGTTTTGGACTTTCCAGCAGCAAGATTCTTCTGTAGAAAGCTGTTTTATTTTGTTTATGGAAGTGGTTTATAGTTCCTTGTGAGCTCTAAACAAAGAATTTTATCGTTCACTGAAGTACTTGTCCATACAGCTAAATGGATTTAAAAAATTGCATTAAGGAAAAGCGTTTAAGACAATTTATCTTGTAAAACACGCAGCTTATACAAAGCACATAATGGTATAGCGTCAATAGAGAAGTTCTGTCAGCATGTTTGGGATGACGTCCATAAAGCACCGAGTGCCTTTTCTGTTTATGGGTAACGTAGACATCTCCAGCACAGGCTGACAAAACCACGCAAGCACACTTCTGTCCCTGCGCAGTACACACCACACAGGTAGGATGAGCAGCCGCAGGAAGGAGCTCGGTGACCTGCTGTTCAAGTGTCTTCGGTTGGGTGGTAATGGTTATCTTATGCTTCAAGTCAAAATGTATTCCTCTGCTTTTTCACGATGCAAATTACCCTGCGTTAGGGCAAGAGGATTTTCCTTCCAGCTTCAGATGCTGCTCTTTGAGATGAATGTTTAAATAAAAATAAAAAATAAAGCCTTGCAGCTTTACAGTGGTGTCACAGAGCAGACATCCCTGCAGATAAACAGTTCTTGTATGGCATGTTGTATTAGTTTGGCTGGGGACCTGAAGCCATGATTTCATCAGGGCCTTTTTCAAGTTGTAACCTGTGTTTCAAGAGGCGTGGAGCTGGCATTGTCACTGGAAGAGTTCATAGGACAAAATTATTCATGGTTGGTTTGCTTTTTCCATTTTGCTTTTTAATGTAGATGACTGGGAACAGAGGGTGTTTTTCAACATATCCCATTATTTAGGGAAGAAAAGTGCTGGAGTGAGTCAATGTATCAACAGAAAAGGCATGTGTGCTTTTAAGACATCCAAACACTCTGAAACAGGCGAAAGTCATTTGATTGCTCTGGAGACGTAAGTTGTAGAAAACATGTGGTGATGCATACTTGGAGGTTTATGACATGGAACTGAGATATTTTGGCCTATGCTTAGATTTCTGGGTAAGAGGGAAGCAGCTTGTACGTGGCTTCAATGAAACTGGCAATAGTCCTTTTATTTCAGGGGTTTCTGTATATGTATTGCTATCTGTATGTGAAAATACACAGTAGGCATCTGTATCTGGTGGTACTGTTAGCCGCTCTGTAGGTATTGTGGCTAGCTTGAGGTTTTGTCACACAGCAATTTCTTCGAAAGAAAAAAGTGAATTATGCTAGAAAGTGCAAATGCTGGAAAACAGCTCTGCTTTTAGGCGGTTTTTCAAATACCATGATGGAGATAGTTGCACCTTGTCTGCTCTAGGTTTCTTTGTCATGTTGTTTAAAAATACTGAAAGACTTCTCTGTTGATGCCTGGCTACCACAGCTCAAAAGATCTGCTACAATTAAAGTTTTAATTAATTAAAGATCTACTACAATTAAAGTTTTAAACTGATTAATGCTTTCCTAACATATAAAAGAGTATATCCAAGGAAAGGCGAACCTGGTTTCTTTATCATTACCCACTTGAATGCCTTCATTTCCCCTCTCATGCAGCTGGGAAGCTACACTGATCTTTCTTTAACCTTAAGCAAGATCTTGACCTGCTTATCTTTGCATGGCTCTCTTCCCACTGATAAAGCAAACAGTGATGTATTAATTATATTACCCTTATGACTGGCTGGAAGCATAACTGGAAGCATCTTTATAACTTAGTAGGGGGAGCAGGTAAAGGCAGGTGGGACTAAACAGCTCGGTGCTCTACGCAGCAGCAGTCAGCATGCTCATACCTTGCTACCTGCTGTCTTGTGCCCACTTTGGGTGCAGAAGGTGTTGGCTAAGGTTTTAGTGAGAGAGAGGGGTCAGTTCAGATATGCACATCTGTGCGGTTGCATTTCAGCCATTCAGTGGCATGCATGGTGCAGTAGTTTTGGACCTGCTGCAGTATTTTTCCCCATAGTCATTGCTTCTAAAAGTCAGGCTGGTACATTTGTTCGTTATCAGCCATGATATTTCTTCTTTCAGGATTTTTCTTTATAAAAGAAGTTTTTTGCTGAATCACCCCCAAAGTTTGTTATTTTTTTTAACATAAAATTTGTTTCTTCTGCATGAGCTTCTTTGATTGAATCTTCCTTACTCCAAAGGCCAAATCTGAGGTCTGTCTGGTTGTTGCGTTTCTGGGCAGAGTAATCATCAGCAACAAGAGAGAGGAGCTTTATTAAGAAAGCCGAGTAATGTTTTCCAAGCCTACTGAGATCAATCAACAGCTGATTGATCCAAGCAGTGATTACTAGTTTAAAAAAAAAAAAAAAAGACGTTACAGCAGCCTTGATCTGGGAAATACCTGGCAGCAGCTCAGCTATGTGTCGGTCCGTATGTCATTCCCAATACTCTCACATTCAGGTAAGATTGAGGAGAGCTGCATTGCAGACAGCGATTTTAAAATATATAGGGAGTGTTAGTATTGTAAAAATACATAGTTACAAGCTGTGCTTGGCTTAGTAATCTCAACTTTCATGTGCTCAAGTGTATTGACAGTGGTTTTTATGCAGAGGGGTCACAGCTTCTGATCAGTGGGACACCTGTAGGAATTCACTGCTCAGCTCCCACAGTGCCAGGAGGAGTCCGGGTATCTCTGCAGTTATCTGTCATGCAGCTAAAGATATTTGCAAATTATCCCTTGTTCTGTCTGTCATGCTGTCTCAGAGCGTTTTCTCAGTTGTTAATACGGGCACAATGTTGTCTTCATTTTGAGTGATGTTTTAAAATTGATCTCAGACTGAAATTGTCTGTTACTGTTTTCCCGTTGACAAGTTTATGTACACAGATCTGCTCTGTACTGAGGAGGTTTGGACCAAGCACAAAGAAAATCAACACTTGCTATTTTTATTTGTAGCCATGCAAATACCCTACGTTCTCACTGCATCACATTTTAGCTCACTCCCAAAACAGTCATGTTTTGTATTTCTGTGGTTTTGCCAATGTGTATTTGATATGTGGAGGAGAGTAGTATTTTCCATGCTTAGAACCAAGGATGGTATTTCATTTAGTAGTTCCATGTGATCAGGAACAGGCTAATTTTCCTTCTACTGTTATATAATTGCGTACAGTTTAGTGAAAAAGTTATGGTATTACAAGAATACCAGGACTCAGTTAAAATGTCCAAGATTGCTCCTGGAAATCAAATTCAAGTTCTTTGCTTATACACGGTGATAAGCCCAATACCACTAAAAGGATCTCTTTGATTAAATTCCATATTTTCCATTTGTTACGTTCTTAGAAAGGGTTGAATTTACTTCCAGTCAAACATTCAAACCAGAAGAGTCAGTTTGCAAATCTTTACAGAGCCTTTGTACTGGACTTAGAGTTTACTGGTTGTTATCCTTGTTGACTTCTACGTATTAAACACGTAGAGGAGAGGAGGTTTCAACTTCAAAAAATAATCAATAAAATTAGTCTGCATTTTAAATACTGTGCTATTGAATCTCAGGCCTGACTGCTGTATGTAGTCATACAGGAAGAATGGGAGAAGGAATTAAGCTAATTAGGGAGATAGTCATGAATTCAGGAGGGATATACACAGTTATTGGGTAATACGAGTTGAAATATTCAAGTAGTAAGAGAAAGTTTTATGTTAGATCTGTTAATGCAGATGTCACATGCAAAATAAAAAAATTAAAAGCATGTCATTCCCAGCACACTGAATTTCACGTTGCTTTGGGGCACTTCTCTGAACAAGATTGTTTCTCTGGTTTTAAAGACTGTTTGGTAAACACAGACATATAATAACCATCTCTGTGACAGCTATCCTGATCTGCAAGTGTGTTTACATCCCAAACATCTGGAAGCAGATCTCGGGGAAATAATCATTTCAACAACAAAAGCCAAGTTCCAATCCTCACAAGTTTCCATTTCAGAGACATAAGAAAAATAAAGGCCAATCTGAGAATATATGAAGGAAAATAACATGATTGTTTCCTGCTAGGCTTCCACTCTGGCACAAGAGCTGGAAAAAACGTTTCCTTAGCATGTATGTGGTAGGGCAGTAACCAATCTGGAATTGAAACGAGTGCGAAAAGGTTATATTCTCTGTAAGAAAACAGACAAATTAGTGGAAAGTAAGGCTGCTTCCCCTCTTGCAAAGCCAAAGGGCTTACCTGGCAGCAGGTTCATTTTCACTCTCTAGAAGTTTTGCCATGACACTTTAAAAGTAAAACCTGGTTTCTGGGCTTTCTTGTTTTCTGTGGAAGTATAGTTTGGGGTTTATCTTCTACTAACTGAGATTGTGTCTGATTCTCCTACGCCGGTGCAGAGGGATGGGGCTGTCTTGCTTTTGTTATGTAAAGGTTTTAAATCACAAGTTTGATACTAGGGCTTTATGAAAGGTGCTCGTACTTGTCTGCTGGCTTGAGAGGGAGCTGTGAGTCGGGGGAAATGGAAGCTCGTTCCGTTTAATATGCAATTCTGAAGTTGTCACTTTTAAAGCAAAGATGTTTACTGTTGCTTAAGTCACTTAGATAATGTAAATTTAAATTTAAATTTGCGTGGTATTGGACATCATGTTGTTGATGTGCCTAATCTGGAAG